AACTTGTTCCCAGCCGAGTGTGAAGCGGCTGGGATGAGGATCAGCTCTTGTAAAGCCGAGACCGTGATCTTGAATCAAAAAAGGGTAGAATGCCTTCTCCGGGTCAGGGAGGAGGTCCTGCCTCAAGTGGAGAAGTTTAGGTATCTCAGGGTTCAAGAGTGAGGGAATGATGGAGCGTGAGATCGACAGGCGGATTGGTGCTGCGTCTGCAGCGATGTGGGCGTTGTACCGGTCTGTCGTGGTGAAGAGAGAGCTGAGTCAGAAGGCGAAGCTCTCGATTTACCGATAGACATGGATGTAGTTTTGACTTTAAAAGTGTATGGGACACAACTGGCATGTCTTTACAGTGAGTATACAAAATTATGTATAAAACAACAGCCTAGACCTAGACCAGACTTTGCAAAGCAAAAATTTGGTCTGGTTCACTAGGCTAGCATCCAGGGGGATTACAGAAAATGTGTTTTCAGGATTGAACTATAAAAACAACAACCAGTCGTGGGATAAAGATTATGTTCGTGAGAGACAAAACAGAATTTAGTTTGTACATTTGGAAAAACATCTAATCTTCTCTTCTTTGGCCTGATTTCATTCATGTGTTTCCTTTCTCCAGACCCGCAGAACAGTAAACTAGAAAACAGAACAGCAGGAAAAATGTTGGCTATGCTTTTGTTCTTGTTATGTGGCAAAACTCTCACAAGAACGTTGCGATTTTGTGGGGTTTTTTTCTCTCTCTTTGCTAAATATTCCCATAAATGCAGCAGGGCAGCGGAGATGGTGGCGGGTTAACATGCACTTGACCCACATTTGTGACAGAAATCCCATCCTCAGTGATGACTCATCCCTTCTTTCTTTCCCCGCAACAAGCTGCAAGTCACTTTGAGAAGAAGAAACCTAACCAGTCAGAATGTGAGACCTCGGTTTCTTGGACGAGGGACAAGACATAAAGCAGTGTGACCATCGACATAATATACGAGTGTGACGCAGAGGAACTTTAATAGATTGAAGCAAAGCTGCATCGTGTGTGTGGCTTGTTGAATACAAACGAGAAGATACGAAAGACGGGAAACACAGAAAAAATGTGAGATAGAAAGACCCAAAACTGGAAACAAAAGTCTCATGAGACAGGGAAGAAAATGAAATTTCCGGCACCAACTTTTCATAAAGTGTACAGTAGTTTGGCAGCTTTAATAAGAAGAGAGCATTTGAGGACAAGCGGCAGACGAGCAGAGCGAGACGTGGAGGAGGAGGTGATGGGACTTCTAATATTTAATCCAAAAATACCCCATGACGTGACTGCTACAGTGGCTTCCATGCACGCACCCCCCTGGATGATTCTGACTGAACTAAAGATGATTCTGGCGTTTTGCTGTTTGACTGCAGCCATGAAAGAAAAGCAGTGTAAAGACATCCACCCAGCAGCCGGGTTTAATATTCTGCCCCTGCTCTGCAGGATGCCGACTCATTCCCAACAGCATCCACTGAATGCAAATGTAAGGAAAGGCCTAGGATTTCCTGTGGGAATGTACATTGGCTGTTGCCTTTCATACCAGAGTTTGAAACCATAGGATTACAAAACAACACTAAACAAAACTAAACAGTCTTGTTCCAGTTGAAACCATGTGGTATGATAAAACTTCATTCCATACAGTCTCGTACGATGCAGTATGATTCAGTATGATATGATAAGGATGCGACGTGACACAGTTGTTAGCATGATAGGAGCGGTACAATACAATGCAATACAATATAATGTGTATATAATATATAATGTCATTTATTTCCTTGTAAGCTTTCTTTGCCATATTCATCTTTGTCATGGGGGTAGCAGACTCAGCAGAGGGACTCAAATCGACCTCTCCTGCAGCCTTCACCAACTCCACCGCTGTGACTCCAATGTGTTCCTTGGCCAGCCTGAACATGTTCTGGGTTGACCAGAGGACCTGCTGTGGCCAGGAAAGGCCTGAAACACCTCCCCTGTCAGCAGTCTTAATTTACCGGTGGATTCATAACATAAATCAATAGAAAATAATACTGCTTGATGTGAGACAGTACAATTCAATTCAGTGCAATGTGTTCAATAAAATGTTAGTGGTGTGATCCAAAGATATGGTTCAGCAGTTCAATGCAATGCTATATGATACAAAGCAAAGTGATGCGATACAATACGATACGATGCGATATGATGCAATATAATAAATAATAAATGGCACTTGTATAGCGCCTTTCAGAGTCAGAGGACTCCAAGCACATTACACTACAGTGTATCATTCATTCATTCACACACTATTCACACAATACAATGCAATATGATACAATGCGGTGCAATGTGATATGATGCGATACAATACGAAACAATACGATGTGATACAATATGATACGATGTGAAACGATACGATTTGATATGATATTATACAATGTGATACGATACGGTATAATACGATGTAATACGATACTATACGATGTGATATGATACGATATGATACGATACAATACAATGCGATGTGATACGATATGATATGATGTGATATGATATGATACGATGTGAAACGATACGATATGATGTGATACTATACGATGTGATACGATACGGTATGATACGATGTAATACGATACTATACGTTGCAATGTGATACGAAATGATATGATGTGATACAATATGATGTGATACGATACGGTATGATACGATGTAATACGATACTATACAATGTGATACGATACGGTATGATACAATGTAATACGATACTATACGTTGCAATGTGATACGAAATGATATGATGTGATACAATATGATGCGATGTGATATGATATGATATGATGTGATACAATACGAAGTAATACGATACGATATGATACGATGTAATACAATACTATACGATGTGATATGATACGATATGATATGATACGATATGATGTGATACGATATATGATGTGATACGATGCGATACAATGTAATACGATGCAATATGATATGATGTGATACGATGTGATCAAATAAGATAAAATACTATGAATTTGAAATGTTTTTCGATACAATACAGTATATTTTTTAATCAACTTTTGTCCTAAACACAACTATAGCCATTTTGGTAAAGTTTTCAAAATGACATTATGCATGGTCTCGTTTCTCAGCAAGATCTCTTACAAAATGTCAGCACTCAAAGTTTGTGTAGGGAATTACTCTGATTACAGGTCAGTGCATGTAAAACCGACTCCGATACAGACATTTATGCTTTTTAAGGCTGAATAATTGTGACCGCCATTCTTGCGTCTGTGTTAATATTATAGCATACTTGGCTATTAGATGGGAGTCATAACTATAAAATATTTAGGAGCTAAAGCTTAAATGAATTACATCCTTTATTTGACATAAAGATGCACTAATTTTATTTGCAATGAAAACTAAGAAGTTTAGAATAAATCAAATATTGTATTCTTTGGATTTTAGTTTTAGTGTCTTCTTTATTGCATCAGTTGATGCGGGAGTGTGTTTAAAGTGTGTAATTTTGTGTTTTCTCATCAACGTGTCTGAACACAGTGTCTGCCCTGGAGAGTTTCCCTTCCTGCCTGACTCAGATGCTGAATGAGGACAGCTGCGTATCAATAAGCTCTCGGTTTCACTTCTCACATTCTTTTCCAATACAAAGTTGATTACAACTATATGGAAACTGCATACAGGTGGTAGTCGAGGGCGGGGACCTTGGCGGCCAGATCCTCGGCTACAGAAGCTGGCTCTTGGCACATGGAATGCCACCTCTCTGGTGGGGAAGGAGCCTGAGTTGGTGTGTAAGGTTGAGAGGTTCTGACTAGATATAGTCGGACTCACCTCAACGCATGGCTCTGGCTCTGGAACCAGTTTCCTTGAGAGGGGTTGGTCTTTCTACCACTCTGGAGTTGCTCAGAGCAGGGGTGGGCAAACTAGTTGCCCCCCATCTTGGTGCCTGTACGTTGAGGTTTACCCCAGTGAATGAGAGGGTAGCCTCCCTCCGCCTAAGTGTGGGGGGACGGGTTCTGACTGGTCTGTGCTTATGCACCAAACTACAGTTCAGACTACCCACCCTTTCTGGAGACCTTGGAGGGGATGCTGGAGAGCGCTCCTTCTGGTGACTCCCTCGTTCTGCTGGGGGACTTTAACGCTTGAGTCACGTGGGCAACGACAGTGAGACCTGGAGAGGTGTGGTTGGGAGGAACGGCCCCCCGATCTGAATTCGTGTGGCGTTTTGTTATTGGGACTTCTGTGCCAGTCATGGATTGTCCATAATGAACACCATGTTCAGACATAAAGGTGTCTATATGTGCTCTTGGCACCAGGATACCTTAGGCCGCAGCTCGATGGTCGACTTTGTTGTTGTTTCATCTGACCTGCGGCCGCATGTCTTGGACACTCGGGTGAAGAGAAGGGCGGAGCTGTCAACTGACCACTACCTGGTGGTGAGTTGGCTCAGATGGTGGGGGAGGATGCCGGTCAGACCAGGTAGGCCCAAACGTATTGTGAAGGTCTGCTGGGAATGTCTGGCAGAGTCTCCTGTCAGAAGGAGCTTCAATTCCCACCTCCAACAGAACTTCCAAAATGTTCCGGGGGAGGCGGGGGACATTGAGTCTGAATGGACCCTGTTCCGTGCCTTCATTGTTGAGGCGGCCAACCAGAGCTGTGGTCTCAGGATAGTCGGTGCCTGTCGTGGTGGCAACCCCCGAACCCGCTGGTGGTTCAAGCTGAAGAAAGAGTCCTATCAGGTCTTTTTGGCCTGTGGGACTCCAGAGGCAGCTGATGGGTACCGGCAGTCCAAGTGGAACACGGCTCGGGTGGTCACCAAGGCAAAAACCCGGGCATGGGAGGAGTTCGGTGAGACGATGGAGCAAGACTTCCATACGTCTTCAAGGAGATCCTGGTCCACCATCCGGCGTCTCAGGGGGGAAAGCAGTGCGCTACCAACACCATCTATAGTGGGGACGGTGTGCTGCTGACCTCTACTCAGGACGTTGTGGATCGGTGGGCAGAATACTTTGAAGACCTCCTCAATCCCACCCACACGTCTTCCGGTGAGGAAGCAGAGTCTGGGGACTTTGGGCTGGCCTCTCAAATCTCTGGTGCTGAGGTCACTGAGGTGGTTAAATAGCTCCTCTGTGGCAAGGCTCCAAGGGTGGATGAGATCCGCCCGGTGTTCCTTAAGGCTCTGGATGTTGTGGGGCTGTGTTGGCTGACGCGGCTCTGCAATATCACATGGACATCGGGGGCAGTCCCACTGGACTGGCAGACCGGGGTGGTGGTTCCCTTATTTAAAAAGGGGGACCACAGGGTGTGTTCCAACTACAGGGAAATCACACTCCTGAGCCTTCCTGGTAAGGTCTATTCAGGGGTTCTGGAGAGGAGGGTCCATTGAATTGTTGAACTTCAGATTCAGGAGGAGCAATGTGGTTTTCGTCCTGGCCGTGGAACACTGGACCAGCTCTATACCCTTAGGGGGATCCTGGGGGGTGTGTGGGAATTTGCCCAACCAGTCTACGTGTGTTTCGTGGATTTGGAGAAGGCGTTTGACCGCGTCCCTCGGGGGGCCCTGTGGGGGGTACTCTGGGAGTATGGGGTACCAGGCCCTCTGATATGGGCTGTTAGGTCCCATTAGAAGGCGAAGCTCTTGATTTACCGGTCGATCTACGTTCCTACCCTCACCTATGGTCATGAGCTTGGCTAGTGACCGAAAGAACGAGATTGCGGATACAATCGGCTGAAATGAGTTTTCTCCGAAAAGTGTCTGGGCTCTCCCTTAGAGATAGGGTGAGAAGCTCGGTCATCCGGAAGGGGCTCGGAGTAGACCCGCTGCTCCTCCACATGGAGAGGAGCCAGTTGAGGTGGCTCGGGCATCTGGTCAGGATGCCTCCTGGACGCCTCCCTGATGAGGTTTTCCGGGCACGTCCAACCGGGAGGAGACCTAAAGGTAGACCCAGGACACGGTGGAGAGACTATGTCTCTCACCTGGCCAGGGAACAACTTGGGATTTCCCCGGAGGAGCTGGCCCAAGTGGCTGGGGAGAGGGAAGTCTGGGCCTCTCACCTTAGGCTACTGCCCCTGCGACCCGACTCCGGATAAGCGGATGAGGATGGATGGATGGATGGATGGATGGATGGATGGATGGATGGATGGAAACTGCCTTTGCGTTGATGCTGTTTTACTGGCAGAGGAGTAATGAAGTGTAATATTGGAGGCATTTAATGAAACATTAAGTGAACAGTGAGAACATCTGGGACTAATGGGAGAAAATGTAATGAATACACTTTGGCAACTCATGTCCAATACTTTTAGATTAAATGACAAACTGCTTCTTGTTGCTTCCACATAGGTGCTACTACTCTTTGTACTGCAGGTATTGCATCCAATTTCATCATTCATGTTTTTCTTTTTTTATATTTTTTTATTTTATTTTGCTGTAAAGTCACACAAACGGGTTAAGAAATGGTTAAATTAGCATGATTTTCCGTGTGAGCATGACTGCTTTTGGGCTAGGCATGCAGGAGAAATGTCCCACAGCAGCACTTCTAAGGCTTAATTAGCCACTTCATGCCACTGATCCCCAGGAATCTAAACATTCCAGAACATTCTGATCCTAAACATCTACCATGAGTAAATACTGCAGACCAGTGTCATTGTTGCGGATGTTTCTGGTGTCGTTGAGGTCAACATGGATGTCTCATCTGAAAAAGAGACAGGAAGTGGAGCAGGAAGTGCATAAAGAACACAGACACGCTGATGGGGAAGGAGAACAATGGCATCTTTTGATTAGAATGGCTAGAGTTTAAGAAATACACGCAACTTTCCAGTTCTGTGACGCACATGTGGACTTTACATCTATTTTAATTATACATTTTTAATAGATTGCCATGAGAAGAGAGTACTCTTCTTTAAAATCACAGACGTTATTCCTGTAACACAACCCAAAACTGAAGAGCTGGGAACATCTAAGTCCAGCAGCTTGTTGAAACCTCTTGAGCAACAATACGTCCATCCATCAATCCATTATTAATTCTCAGTATTTATCTTTTTTGTGAATTCACCAGTCTCTCCCGGGCTGTGGAGGACTTTTTTATCTTTTGTCATTTGTCATTCTGTCTCTCTCGGATGTGTTTGAGATCATTGTTTCGTTTTATAACCCATTTTGGTCCAAGCCTCAGCTGTCAGTCAGCACATTTTTCTCTAGAATAATCTGGTCTGCAGAGGAGGTCATGGTGGGCTCAAGTGTTTGCAGGTAGCCCAAATAATCAACCCTCCACCGCCGTCCTGAAAGTTGATGTGATCAGTTTGTGATTTGTTTGGTGCACCAAGGATTTCTCCTAACCCCTCCAAATCAGCGTTGTTTAGTCTTTTTCTAATGACCCTGCCATTTACTTGAATCTTTGGCCTTTTGACTGAGGCCTGTAGAGTCGGAGGTGGAGTGTTTGAGGTTTAGTTGTGATTTTTTTTAGCGTAGCATGGTTTGACCTTGGGTTGAATTTGCAGGGACATTCCCTCCTGAGAAAACTGGAAGTCTGTCTCTGTGAAATGATAGTCTCTATGGCATTAGTACTTTCCAGATTCATAACTGCTAATGTCTTTGTTCCTTGGATCACACACCTTAATGCTCCAAACCTGCAAACAGCCAAAAACACACACATTTATAAGGGAGTTCAGACTTACTGAGAATCAGTGAATCAGTGCACTTGATCAGTAACACCTAGCTGCTACTTTTCCTCTTAATTTCTGCAGAAGCAGAAAGGATGAACTCAATTTAACTTGTTTTGGCTTATAAAAAACACAACATTGTAAAGTCATGTGGTGCAGATCCTTCTGAAGTTGGTTCACTTAAGCCTTGGATCGATTTACACCCAGTGCACATTCTCTAAATTGTGATACACAAAACCTTCCAAATAAAGAGGCATAACTATAGAAAGCAGGCAGAAAGAGCTCTCTTGTTGCTGTTTTCCACTTCTGCTCCCTCACAAGTGTCACGCAGCGCTGCAACACCTATTACAGCTCGACTCTTAATGGCACTTACAGGCTAATGTTGTTTCCAGGAAGCCTACATGTCTCGAGTTCTCTGAACAGAGTCGATTTCAAAGCACAACAAAATGCTCCGATCAACATGTAATTAAATGCTACAGTTAACCCTCAGCCTGCTGTTCCTCTTTCACCCCCGTAAACTGGTAGTTCACCTGCTGGTTCCCTGGAGGAATGCACTGAACGTGGAGACGCTTGAAAGGATGTGTCCTACATATTATGCTAAAGATGCAAACAGCCTCCCACAAACTTGGTATAACTGACTCAGCTGGGATCAGATTTAAATTTTTGTATTTTGGAGCTTTTTCTTTGCTCTGTGGGCAGCTTCAGCACCAGGTGCTGTTCACCATCCTGCAGCCTGAATCACCGAGCAGCAAGTAGCTTGTCATCACAATGATTAGCAGGCGGCTGACTCACCTGCTGTTCTCCGAAAGAGGGCTTAAGGTCCAATGTGTGAATTTTAAAAAGCAAGAAAAGTGACAAAGAGTGACGAATGTGTCAAATATATGGAGTGTTTTTCATTAGCTGGCAGGTGGAGGTGGGGTGTCAGCTAGAGGTCTCGTTTTCACAGGATGAATTGTTAATGTGTGTTTGGACAATAAACCATCAGCCAACCCGGATCACTTGACAGGCCCACTAAGCAAACTAATTGGTGTCTTTATCAGTTGGGTCAGATAAGAGGGCTGCTGCCTTTAAATCATTTATGACTCAAACTTCAGACCCGTTGGAGTAATCCATCCATCCACTTCACTTCACTTGTGTCGTGGCCGCCGTCTAATCAAGTTTCAGGAAGATGTCAAAGCACAAGTTTGCAAGCAAAAGAATCGAGCTACCTTCTGTGATTTCTCTGAAGAAATTCCTGTTTTCAGATGCACAGTTTGATGCAAGACCTGATCTAAAAGAGAAGATTTTTTCTTCATCAAAGGGTTTTTGGTCAGTGTTGCAACCCGTGTGCAAATGCTCAGCGTGAACTCTTCCTGTAATAGACAAAACCCTTTTCTGATTTATTTGCCGTTTTCAAGTGTGCAATAGTTTAATTGTATGTGTAAAATGTTGTAGCTCCATCCTCCCTCTGAGGCTGAATTTAAGGTCTTTGGGCTGTTTTAATAAGAACAGCACAATTTGATGTTTGTAGAAATCGTGTGATTAGTCCATACTCACATAATGATAGTCATTCAAGTTCATGTGTGAAAACGAAAGGTGCACAAATAGCTCATTAAAAGTGTGTAATTACACAGTTGCTGACTCAATTTAAGTTCATGTGGGAATTTGGGACAAACCTGATGCAAAAGCGTCCACTTTCTAACATGCGGTGCGTCATTAACACGTCTTCATGGTCATTCTGGCTGCAGCCTTCCTGCGTGGATGTTCACCCTACCATGCATGTGTTTTCTGCAGCTCCTCTGGTGCATGCCACGTTAAACTGTGAGCCACTTTGGATAAAATTGTCTGCAAATTGAAAGAACAAACATTTGAATAGTCTTCGCTTTTTATTTAGATAGATTTATCTTTATAAACGTGGAATTTATTATTTAAAAATACATTAATCTTATATGTGTGCAAGGCTTACTTCTTCACGCAAAACAAACGGTAACTTTTATGAACTCTAAAATGTTAAACAGAGTAAGAAAAATATGTTACTCACCGTGAATCTGTGCAAATAATGCAGGGAAAAGACTAAATTGGGATGGATAAATGTTTGTGTTGAAGTGACACAAGTTGTTTAGTTGACTGATACATTTTTGTTTTATTTGCATCCAATTTTGCTAAATTGGTCTCTCACTCAATACAAATGGGATTTTGTGGGATCATGTGACTCCCTCTTTGGCCCTAAATCTGTTCCCCTCGGACTCATTTTATGTCTCTCTATTAAATTTCGTATCTTTTCCTTATTTTTGAAACATTTGTGAAGGAAATGTCTACATTAGTAGAGCTAATATCCAGATTTTTGTCTGCATGAATAATTTCACTGTGGGTGTACTCGATATGTCCCGCAGCCCCTCCCTGTAATCTGCAGCGGGGGGCGGAGCTTAAACACACATTGTGCTTCCCTGGCTCGAGGCGCATTAGGTGGATTACCGCGGCGGGCTGGCAGAGGGAGGCAGCGTATCTTCGTCGGTTTCCAGCGGCAGCAGCGAGGGGTAGCCTCCGTGGGAGCCGTGATGGCATCTGTTGCACCGGACGCCTCAGCGGTCGCGTTTAATTCCGAGGAGAACGGAGCGGGAGAGCCAGCCTGAGTCCGCCGGTGATGAATTGAGCTGCTGCGGACAAAAGTTGATCAGAAGTCGGGATTCAGTCGCTCCCCACTGCTGTAAAATGGTAAATATTGCCTACACATTTATTACTATAGCCGAAGTTAGCAAACATGAGCTAACGACTGTTGGTGAAACGTTTATAAACGTGTGTGTGTGTGTGTGTGTGTGTGTGTGTGTGTGTGTATGTGTGTGTCATTTGGTGTAAATAATGACCACGGTGGTGTGGAGCTAACTTCTCAGGTTAAAAGGTCATAAACAGTTTTTTAATATTGTCCAACCGCTGAATTTACGCTAATCTCTGTATTCCTTGTTCATCCACACGAAGACGTAACAGCGACAGGTCATGGGCGTAATTTCTTTTGGAGGGGGGGGGGGGGGGGGGGACATGTCCCCCCCACATTTTCCAAAGTCAAGTTTTGACCCCTGCACTTTTTACCATCCAAAACAATATTACGCTATATTAAATTAACACTGGTTGAGCTCTAGGACCAAGCGGAAAACAACCGTTTGTGTTGAAGTCTGTTTCCCATTAGAGCATACTGTAAAGATACCCCTCCCCCGTGCCCCCCCCCCCCCCCCCCCACACACACACACACACACACACACACACTTCTAAAGTGAAAATTACGTCCATGCGACAGGTCCAAACATGTTGGGTTCAGGAGCCAAAACCAACTCCATGTACTAAAATAATCTTTCTTTTTGCTTTTTGGAGTAAGACGTTTTCATCCCAGCATCCATTTATGGCCATGCTCCTTGTTGAGCTCAGGAGCCAATCTATGATTCGGCTCAGACGATCTGATAAATATTCTTTTCTAATGATGTGTGTGAAGGAAGCCTAACAGGGTGTTATAATCACACCCTCGTGTCTAGTAGCTGAGCTGGGAGGACGTGGCGGAGCTTCTTGCTGAGCAGACAGCAACTTGTCTTGATGTTTTAGGTCATCTGAGTCACCCAGGCGAGGCGTTTACTGGATGATCCACACTTGGATCTGCTCTGTTTGCAGCGCTGCGCGTGCACGTGGCTCCCACAGGCACAGGTTACACGAGAAGCTGGTTTATCTGGTCTGTGCAAAAGTAACCTCCATGACATTACAGTGAGATTTAAGGGGTGATAAAGAGCTGGCTATCTTCCCAAGTTGTGTTGATGGAGCTCCTTGCTGGATGGGGGCCAGTGGTCAGGCAGCCATCACCTTCCTGTTATGTGCAGCGTGAATACCACGCATGCTGTGTGTGTCATGTGTGCTAAGAAGCCTCCTTAAGGTGGAAGCGAGGAAACAGATTCTCCTGTGAACCATTTTCTGATGAATCATCATTTTCTGCAGCGATCTGACGTCTCTGAGGGAAAGGAGAGTATGCCCAGGGGATTTTGTGCTGCCACAACTTCACTGGTTAAAAGCAGAGAGCGCTTTAAAGGTTCTGCTCGTTTGTCCCTTAAATTTACACGTTAAAAAGTAGTCGTCAAAAGAGCAGCAGTCCTTAGAGGGATGGGAACAGCATCTACCTATTTTTTGCCAACTGACACCCACTTACACAACTGTGTCTCTGAGTTGGAGAGAGCAGCACGTTCAGGTACACAAGAAAACATGCAGAGACATTTTTTTAACTGACGACACCTTTTACGAGCTGCTCGGCGGCTGGAGGCAGACCGTTCCGTCCTCTCTCAACAACCCGTATTTGACAACACTCGGGGGAAACTCTTGGTCGACGGAGCATCTCTCCAGCCGTTCTCACCTGGGAACAGCTGGTTGCTGAGCAGTTCTGCTGGTGTGAGATGGAACCTGGCTCCGAGGCGCCGCAGGATTTTATTTTTCTTGCCAACGAGCCGCTGGAGACTTGAACAAAATCTGAAAGAGGAAAGAGCTGAAACCTTTTGATCTCCATGACCCAATTTTTTACATGAAAGTGTGTGGCTGCATTCAAAGCGTGTGTGTGGCTTCTTCACGATCTCCAGTGAATTCTGACGGTTTAAGTTTGAATCAACAGCTGCAGCGGAGACATGACTGTCCTGTGTTTAGTGTTCAGTTAGCTCCCCTCGAGGAGACAGGCCGAGTTTTCCTCCGCTGTGATAAAAAGATACCGATATCAGTGAGGAGATTGATTTGTGTGAGACTGCAGTTGACTTGGTTGATTCAGACATCAATACGGACGCTTCTTCAAAGGTCAGCCTGTGTGTGTTTGTGTGTGTGGTTCATCCAAGAGTAGCTTTACTGTAGAAATGTCCACTGATGTTTGTTTATTTGGCCGAAGCCGTAGACGACGTGTGTTTTGGGGTGTGTGTGTATGTGGGAGGTGCGTGTTCTTCTCTGAGCTGACTGAACTCCCTCTGTGTCACAGTGTGTTTATCCGCCTCCCTAAAGGAGAAATGGTCTTTTCCCAGGCTTTAGTTCCTCTTTCTCAACACATTTTAAGTATTGACGCCACGTGACGGAAAGTGGAATGAGTCTGCAAAGCGTCGCTGTGAGTTTGTTTGGGTTAGAAATGATTCGTACCACAAAATGTTAAACACAGCACAGAAACGAATAGACTGAGTGTGCAGAAGAAGAGCATTCATACCTTCTCCAGGGTAATTATTTGTAGTTAATGAGCATGAATTCCTGCAGTCTGGACAGAAGAGAACGTCACGACCTTTATGCACTCCTGGCTAAAAGTCGGTCCCATTTTAAAGGGACTTTACAGAGTTTTGAATTTTTATGCTCGTGATTGCCCCCTCAGGCCAAAAGCGTAATGGCAGCTTCAATAGTAGGCTCGTGCACGAGGCACGCATGTTGTACGTGCACTCTCCTTAACGAAAATAACAGCTGAGACAGTCCCTTGTGTGTGTGTGTGTGTGTGTGTGTGTGTGTGTGTGTGTGTGTGTGTGTGTGTGTGTGTGTGTGTGGCCCGGAGGACAGAGGACAGGAGAACGTGCAGCTAATTAATTAAATAATGTGGTTCTGTAGCTTTCTCTTCAGCACAGCGACAAAGGTTTATGATGGGTCAGTCCTCCTGCATGCTCAGATCATTCCCTTCCCTTGCTTGAAAAATTGTTCCAAAATGAAAGTTGAACCCACATCTTTTTATCTGTGAATTCAATGCCGTTCGGCGAGTCTCAAATAAAAATGTGGGCGTCTTACTGTAAAAAATATACCATTAATGTAAAAAATAAACTCTAAATAAACAATGTTCACACCCAGAATCAGACCCAGGTCTTCTGCATGAGAGTCCGACGTCTTACTAGGTGAGCTACACTCTAGTAACATTTATATCCTTGATGACAGCTGAAACAAAGAACGGTTCGGAGTGAAAATGGCTATTTTGTTGCTAATTAGCAGGACATATCTAGAAGAAAGTTCTACAGAAAGTAGCTAAGGGTCCTCAGAAATGTAGCTAGCTTTGTCACTAGGCGTTAGGAACAGCGACAAAGTGGCACTGCCTCTCTCTCTGCTGCTAAAGCTACGGATAGCAAATGCTACTGGCGATGCCTGAGCGTGAACGCGCATGAAGCAGCCTGCTCGACCCGAGCATCTCTCTTTTTCTGTGATTTTACAGAAAACAGGCAATCAGAGTAAAAATGCCAGGGCTCATTCTACAGGACCAGGGCATTGCAGGAGAATGTATGAAGAAGACATTTATTATTTCTATACATGTTTTGGCTGTCACACTTCCATAATGTCCCTTTAAGGTTTCAAATTACAACGGGTCCCTCTCCGGTCCTTTAATGAGGTGAAAATAACCTCAAATGAACAGCAATAAAAAGTAATTCAGTTTCAGTATTTAATTTGTCAGGGGCCGAGACTGAATGTCTCATTTTACTATATTCATTAGCAGTAAATCTGAGCTAACCTTTAATAAACCTGCTATTTTGGATCGTAAAAGTTGATAAACTATTTCACATTTACAGCCTGGTCCATGGATGGCCACTGTAGGCCACTCCAGAGACAAATAAAACAAAACACACACACACAGACTCACGACAGCATTGTGACATCATAATGTACCAGTTTACATCATAGCATACCTCTTAGCCAATAGCGATGGCAGATTTAAATTCAAATACAGTGCAGAGTTTTTACCTGACAATGGCACACTTGACAGTTTTAGGTAGAATATTTAAAATTTAACTAAAATGCACTGAAGTTCCAAACTATTGACTACACATGTCTGCAGCACGATTGGACACACATTTATATAGTTTATCAGAAAATAAAGTTGATTTGGGGGGACTTGCTCTTTAAACATCTAATACAACAACAGTGCTGTGATAATAAAAGATAAAGTCAGGTTTTCAATTAAATTAAAAAGTACTTTATTAATCCCAGAGGGAAACTGATTGCTGTAGTAGCTCAGAATAATAATAATAATCAAGTCATCAAAGAGTTGTTGTATATGACAATGGCTGTTGGCAGGAAGGATCTCCAGTAGCGGTCAGTGTTGCAGCCAAACTGAAGAAGCCTCTGACTGAAGACACTCTTCCGTTGTCGGACAGTCTTGTGAAGAGAATGCTCAGGGTTGTCCATCATTTTCTTGATTCTCTGGAGAATCCTTCTTTGCATTATCTCCTCCAGCGGTTCCGAAACTGCCAAAACTCTGGCTGAGTCCTTGAAAGGGCTTGGAGTTCCTCCATCTTGTTGGCCAGTGATCTCACATTGCCCGTTATGATCGATGGAAGAGATGGTTTGAATTTCCTCTTTCTCCGTCCCGCTCCCGCTCTGCACCCACGCTTCTTGCGTTTTAGCTCATTTAGGATTTGTGGCTTCAGTTGAGGTATTATTTCAGCCTTTCCCATGTTAATCAGCTGCTCCCGATTGTAAACCAGCTTGTTGCCATGGTTACGCATCATAACAAATGCTCAAAAAGTGAAAAAAGCTAAAAAATAGCAGTAAAAAAACTCCAAGCTTCACAGCACCAGAAACAGAAAAGTAAAATGTCCAAAAAAAATAGTTTTTCTTGAGAAACTAGAAGAAAAAATGTCCAAGAAAAGACAAAACTTACATATAGTCAACAGAGCTACTCCAATATGCAGCCACCCAGAGCAGCGCAGTTCCGAAAAAAAATAATTAAATAATTTAACAGCATAAATAGAAATTGTCTTTCTGTGCAGAAATAAACGTTCCATTCTTCTTAGTAAACACCACGTTTCTAACATAAGAGTCATCACAGCTGTTCATTCAAGTCAACTGGTTGCTGTTAGCCGTTTGTCTGATAACTTCAAAGCAGGATTTTTTCTGTCTGCTGTCAGGCCATTCAGACAGGAGAAAGTGGGAGGAGTGAAGGTTGTTGAATGGGAGCTGACTGATAGTCTTCGCCTTGGACTCGCTTCACTGGTGCTTACGGCGAGGTGCGAGGCAAGATCTACTCATTTGTGTCTGTTGTCAGGGCAACAGATGGAATGTGATTCCCCCCATCTGCCGACAGCTGAAATAAATGACGCTTTAACTCGTGAAGGTGAGGGAGGAGAGGAGAGTGGAACGAAAAATGATTAGAGCATTTTATAGCTTTATTTCCTACTTGTGTGTCTTTTTAGTTCTTTCTCTTTTTGCTTCTGGATTACAGATTGAGCGGGCTAAGCTGACAGTGAATAGACACACACCAGCAGTGATGCTATGCGCGTGAGCACGGAGTGGATTAACTAACACACACGCACACTGAACCCATCAAAGAGATCCAGTGTGAGCTAACGCACTCACACATTCTTTTAGTCCCGAGTCATATGATGGAACGCTGCTTCACCACCAGTTTTTACACTCTGAGCACATTTATGAAAATTGATGCATAAAACTAGAGCAATCCTTCCTGATTTCATCTTCCAGAGCTGTGAAATCAGCACAGTGTCCTCTTAACATATGACAACACAGCTTCATGCACAGTCTGACCGATAAAGGCCTGTTGCTGTTTATATAATATATAAGATATTGTGTCTGATTGGGATCATTTGCAGTATAAATGGGCCCTTTTCGTTCTCCGATACACGTGAAAGCAGTTAAAGAGCAAGTCACCCCCAAACCAAGTATTTTTTGCTGATAAACTATAAAAATTAATGTCTAATCGAGATGCAGACATGTGTATCAATAGTTTTGCTCTTTAGTGCATTTTAGTTAAAATTTGAATTTTCAGCCTAAAACTGTCAGTGTTGTGCCGTTGTCAGGTAAAAACTCAGCACTGCATTTGAATTTAAATCTGCCACCGCTATTGGCTAAGAGGTATGCTATGATGTTAGCTGGTACCATATGATGTCACAATATTGTTGTGAGCCTGTGTGTTTGTATCTGTTAGAAGCTCCGCCCTCTCGGTCTGTTAGGCAACAGCATTTGTTGCATTTTTCAAACAGGAAGTGGGAGTGGAGTAATACTCTGGTAGGGGGTGACAAAATCTACCCTATCGCTTTGTAAACGTTTGTCTTTGCTCTCAGATATGCATGTTTTAGTGTGATTCAGTCATCTGAATGAAGAACGAAAACTGAAGTTTACGTGCTGCAACAACAGAAAATGGTTCTGATCAAACTGCATCAATCAAAAATCAATGTTTATCTGAGTCTGGTCCGGTTGAAGAGTTCCTGTCCCGTCCACCTGCAAAGTTCAGTTATGTAACTCGCGGTGTGTGTGTGTGTGTTTGGGGGGGGGGGGGGGGTCAGTCTGAATGAGGCTACTGTGCTATACTTACACTCATCATGTCAGCGTTTCAGGGTCCTCGACTCGTATTTTTGTTCATCACTCTGTGTGTGTGTGTGTGTGTGTGTGTGTGTGTGTGTGTGTGTGTGTGTGTGTGTGTGTGTGTGTGTGTGTGTGTTCAGCTCTGAATCAGGCCTGCTGTAACAGGAGTGCTCAGCAACACAAAGAACATTTCTTTCCTATAAACAGAACGGGCTGTATACGGCGTGTCTGAGGCTCCCCATTGTCGGTGTGTTATATTTATTTAGTATTGAAGGATTAGTGAGCAAAGGTCGTCGCAAATGTTCTCTTCTGATTATTTTTTTTCTGCCAAAGTTTGTCTGGTTTTAAACTAAAAGATCCCGTTTTCAGCCGCTGTTATGAAACCTCTTTTCAGACGCGACCTTCTCACACCAACGGTTTCTTCTGTCTGTTGAAATAAATCAGACGCACCCGTTTATTCTGCTTCCAGCATAACACAAACCCTTATCTGTTACACCTGTAGTGAGGGAGAACTGTGGAGCAGGAACATTTGAGTCATGCTTACAGCCTGCTGATGTGACTACATGCAGTTCAGACCTTTGGTGTTGAATGTGATGCGTGAACAGTCTGACCTACTAACATTTCTCTAGAATTAGTTAGTTACCTCATGTGTTACATTTAAAAACACCTTAGGAAATCAATACGAGAAATTTTTTGAACGGTGCCTGTGTTACAAACATTAAAGGTGCAATATGTAAGAATTCTACTGTGAAATAATCACAAAACTGTGTCAATCACGATGGAAGGAACGTTAAGTTAAAACGGATTTCCTTCTCAGCCGGCCGGGGGTTGTCAGTTTTTCTCCTTACAAAAAAAAAACCTAAACTGAGGGACGTCGTTACTGTTTACAGTCCGTAAGCGTACAGAATTTGCAGCGCGCTAACGCTGTAGCGCCGCCATTTGTAATTCAACACTGGCCGGTAAAAAGCTCCAGATTTGTTTAAAGAACCGAAGCCAGTAAACAGAAGCGACCCAGAGGTTATTTTACTCTAATAACGGGTGAAGCAGGCCTCATCTTGCTCCTCTAATGAGATGTGTTTGATCTTTGTTGCCGTAACAACACATTTTAGCCATTTCTGTGTTTTCTAAATGAAACTGACTTCCTTGGGCGGCCATCATTGAATGGACTGAGAAAATGATGAAGCCAAGTAAACCCAGGGCTTTCATTACAAAAGTCATTAAAGGTTTTTATTGTTTAATAAACATTCATTTTACCAGTTAAACCCCATTTTCTCTTGACCTCTTTCACAAAGGTGAGCCGTCCAAGAGAGGCAGCGGCACACATCATTAACAGCAAAACAACAACAAACCGTTAAATACAGTGAAGTAATGTGACAAACAAAGTGCAGAAGTTATTGCAATAGTCACAAATTGAAGACATCAATGATTTCAAGGTGCAGTATGTAAGACTGACATTGTGTGGTCAAATGTGGTTACTGCAGTCCATTTTTCGAACACTGCTGTTCTGCGAGTGTCATGGCTGTTGCCTGTTACAGGTCAGCACCAGAAGATCCTAGATGACAAGCAAAGACGAGTCACACACAGTAAGTTAATAAGTAGATAAATACATTGTCATAGCTGGTGTTCTACGGTAGGGAGCACTTACTACACTTATTACGGTAGTATAGTCTTCTGCATTACAGGAAGTGTGGTCTTTTTCTGGCTTGCTGTTAGCTTACTGTTGTAGTTCTGAATGAAATTATAAACAAAGGATAAAAAACGGAGCCCTCTGTGTATCATCCACTCACACAATGACCCGCACTTTAGAGCACCTTTCAGAGACAGGGGACTTTAAAGCTCTTTACACTTCAGTGTATCATTCATCCATTCACACGCTGATGTTGATGAGCTACAATGTAGCCACAGCTGCCGTGGAGCTCACTGACAGAGGCGAGGCTGCCCAGCACAGGCGCCAATTGTGCTGCACAGCCAATGGATGCTGAGAATCAAAACTAGGAAGGCTGGAGCACTCACCCATTTTTGTATTTCTGAATGACAAAATCGTTTTTTATATGTGCTTATTTATTTAAAAGGGACAATGCATATTTATGAACACGTAAATATAAATATTCCAGACTTAGCCCAAAGTAGGGATGCACGTTTTACAAAATTTCTTTAACCGGTTATAGAGCTCCGGGAGTTGACGACACTTCTCCCGGCATGCAACAGTTTAAATCGAAACGGCGCCATCTTGGCAGGCAGAAGCCGGCAGCTGGACTATTTGTTATTGTCAGAAAACTCAATCAGACAGGAAATATGGTAGATTCCTGTTGTGCCGGATGACATAAGGAATGAGCCATCTACAGGATTCCCCAAGATCCGGAGCGCCGCAAACGTTGGATCATTGTAATAAAACGCACTAGTGACCGGGCTAAAATGAAGCTGTGGGATCCCGAGAGTAAAGGTTTTCGCTTATGCAGCGACCGCTTCATATCAGGTACTTAAACCAACGTTTCCTCAACTGTGTGTGGTATTTATTTTAAATGCTTTTATTACGATTCTTAGTGGGCTTCCTAAACTTATTTTGGCGTGGCTTTTTCTGTCTTATTACTCATAGCAACGAGTAAACGTCACGTAAAACGTTGCCTCGTGAGTTCTGCATGCTGCCGTTTACGTGTTTTATGATCACAGCAATTAACCGGCTAAGCTGTATTTCATTTTTAAGCAATGGTTGATCAATTGTCAGATCACACATAAAAAGCACTTTGGATTGCTCTTATCTGTCTCACCGAGACAGATCTCAGACAGATCCTGAGACGCTCCTGCCTGACATATTTATTTTATTTATGTGTTAGTGGTGGTCAGAGGGGCCGACGGCGCCAAATGGCAGCCTCGCCTCTGTCAGACCTCCCCAGGGCGGCTGTGGCTACAAGTAGCTTACCATCACTAGCAGTGTGTGAATGTGAGAGTGTGTGAAAGCGTCTTTGGGTGTCTAGAAAAGCGCTTTATAAGTTCAATGCATTATTATTATTATTATTATTATTTACCAAAAAAAAACAACTAGTGATTTCTCTTGGTGTTCAGTTTATACATTCAAACAGCACAGCACTCTATTTAAACTACTTACGTGTAAATCTATGTTATTTGTCCATCCATCCATTTTCATCCGCTTATCCGGAGTCGGGTCGCGGGGCAGCAGCCTAAGTAAAGAGGCCCAGACTTCCCTCTGCCCATCCACTTGGGCCAGCTCCTCCGGGGTAATCCCAAGGGGTTCCCTGGCCAGGGCCGGTAAGAAGTCCGCTCCGACAGCTTCTGGCGTTTTTAAAAAGTATCCCAGGGGCACGGTAAGGGTCGGAGATGTTTAGTCTATTTAATTTCTGACTATATAAAACGATTTCTTCGGTTTTAAATTCTGAAGTAAACTCCGACAGAGCGAAATCCAAGCCGATCCCGTTCATTTTGTTTACCTTTGTTGCCTGCCAAAATGGCGTCTACTCTGAGAGTCACATGACGTCCGGAGCTCTATTGGCGGTTAATAGCTGTTTAACTGAAAACGAACTCCCCACCCCATGATGCACACAAACATTTGCCCCCAGTCTATAAACGATAACGCTTTTTACGTCTACTCGTTTTTTTTATATAATTCTGAAGCTGCCCTAAATTGGTTTTTACCTGAATGGGATTTCTCTAAATTTGACATGATTTCCTTTTTTATTCTATGAATTATTTTTAAGATATTTTTGTAGATTTTTCTGTTTGTGTGGAAGTTCTCAGGCCACAGTCAAATCAGCCGTCTGTTCAAAGTAACTTAAGGTCACAATCGACTAATTTCATTTTAAAGGCCACGACATAAACTCTTCACCTCCTCTGCAAATCGCTGATCGAATTCCGATGATCCTCGGCTCTTTCGTTCCGCGTCACTTCCTCCTCTTTGCCCTTTTGAATCTCTTTTGCTGCTTCTGTCGTTTCCCTAAGATTACATCTGTGTCAGCACCCTGCTTTCTTTCCTGCCAAACATCTCTGCCCTCTGCATGAATAGA